AAGGTCTGTGGTTCAAAGGCACAAGCTGCTCTGAGAGAGGAAGATGAAGCAATATACTTCCATAAAGATTTGCAGCCTTGGAAACCCAATGAGGGTCGCTATGAGTTGGAATCTACTCAGTGACAGTGGGTTTGGTTTCATTTTGGATATATATATTTCAGATAAACTTTTATAGTGGACCCAAGGAGCTGCACAAATTCTGCACACCTCTAGCTACTGCTACAGCCTTGGTCCTGGACAGTGAAGATTGGTGACCCTAGAATGAGAGTCTTTATACCCATGGACCAGACGACCTTGAAAATCATCAAACATTCATATATGTTCAGAAGGCTGGTTGTGAGGGTCAGACAGAAACAAGTATGAAAGGGATGTGTAAACTGTAAAGTGTCCCACGCACGTATGTGCTTTTGCATAAAGCATATATTACAGATTATCTCGATGCTTTGGAAATCATGAAAAGGATAAAACTCAGATAAGCTGAGTGTGTAATGAAGCAGGAAGAGTCCAGTCCACACATTTACTAGTAAAACAGCATTTGTATATGCACAAATGTGTATCCATATGTATACCTGTGTATGTGAGTGTGTAGATCTTTGGGCCTTTTGGATATAGTCATCACTTTTTACATAGGGATTGGGTACCTCTAAGGAGAACAAAATAGGAATTATAACACAGGCTGTAGAGTTCCTGAAGCCTACCTCTATAACTGACTTGTTGTTGTTATGTGCCGTCGAGTTGGACCCAACTCAAAGCAACCCCTCCTTGGGTTTCCAAGGCAGTATCACTACGGAAGTAAATTGCCCCATCTTCCTTCCGAGGAGTGGCTGGTGGGTTTGAACCACCAGCTTTCTGGTTACCAGTCAAGTGCCTTAGGCACTATGCTACCAGTGCTCCTCTATAACTGACTAGAAGTGTGCTATTGGTCATACAGGGAGCTCTGGTAGCATAGTGCCTAAGGCACTTGACTGCTAACCAAAAGGCTGGCAGTTCAAACCCACCAGCCACTCCTGAGAAGGAAGATGGGGCAATCTACTTCTGTAGTGATACTGCCTCAGAAACCCAAGGAGGGGTTGCTATAAGTCGGGTCCAACTCAACAGCACATAACAACAACAACAACAACATAGGTCATATAATTGACCAAGAATGACACAGTCTCTGCCTTTGTGGAGCTTAATGTCTATGGACAGGGCTACTCTGAGAAGGTGGAAGGACATTGAAGAGAATGTGCCTTTCACACTGAAAAAGTACTAGGGTTATGTGAGTGCCTCGTTTAATGGCTTTCACCAGCATTTAGGGAAAGTTGTTTTAACCTGCTGGATAAAAGGAACCTTCTGAGCTATCTTAAGTTTTACAGGACCATTCCCCTGAGGGGCCAGGTGCCTGGGTGGGTGGGAGCCCACATGGGAGA